TCTTCTTCACTTCAAATATGATAGTACAGTAAGGAAGTGTTTAGCGTAGCATAGCATAAAGACTGGAAACAAGGGAAACGGATAGTCTCAGACCAAAGTCGATTGGTGTTGCTTGTCCATCAAAGGACAAAAATTTGGGGCATCGGTTGGCTTAGCCTTTTAGGTTGTGCGCCCCATGTGGACACCTAGTTTGTCTTCCACCCCCTGGCTCCTCACCAGCAAGGCAATCTGCACTTTCCTTCCCTACTCCACTGCCCTCTCAAATAATGGCATAGAACCCCAAAGTAAATCTTTAAAAAACTAAAACTAAAACAAATGTGGTTAATTTGTTTCATTTAGACAAAATCAGGCTAGTTCTCCTATGTCTAGTGTCTACAGTGCTTGTGCTGAGCCAATAGGTTGCAGACTGCAGCTTCATATTCAACAGACAGACATGTCAGAGGAGACATTTTTATTATCTTAACTCTCTTCAAGAAAGTACACTGTCCCTCTCAGGAGGAGTCGTACATGTATCGTACCTCTTGCCCTGGCAGCTTTGGTTAGCATGACTAAAAAACACATCTGTTTCAATGTATGACCCAGAAAGACAAGATTTTATTGAACAGCAGAACACATTAGATGTAGTTTTGATCATTTTAAAAATGTATTCTGAGTGCATACTGTAAAAAGCAAGCAGACTGGTTTCCCTGAATTTTCCAAAAAGCCCCCAAAAGAACTATTTTCTCATTATTATTCCCCACCATGCGTCCCATGGTGGAGCTGTTATGTAAGCACATAGTGTCCGAAGAGTTCACGCTCATTAACTCTAGCGTGTTTTGGACAAAAGTTTAGTGTTAAGAGCTGCCCAGGATTGGACGGCACACTGTTAGTATTATGTAACTTCACTCCCTTTCTCACATGCAGGTCATGAGGTCACCGGATGTGGACAATGTGCTTAGCTGATGTAGTACATGGCACATGGTGTGGTCAGCCTCACAAACAGTGGACAGAGAAACTGTGTGGCATACTTTTAAATGGATGACTGATTACAAACTTAAACTGCTGAGTAGTTTTCAATAAAGTTGATCACAAGCTCTACTTGTTGTTGAAATGCCAGACCGACGCACACAAACATGTTTTCTTTGAACCCAGCTATGCAAACACAAACCTGAGGAAATAAGTAAACTGACAAAGCTGTAGATAACAAATCTGCTGTGTTTCTCTTCCTCAGGGAGTAAGCAGTGTGGTGCGCCGCTGCGTCCACAAGCAGACGTCTCAGGAGTATGCAGTGAAGATCATCGACATCACCCCGTCAGACAAGATGACTTCGCAGGAGATCGAGGAGATCAGAGAGGCGACGGTGAAGGAGATCGACATCCTCAAGAAAGTGTGTGGACAGGACAACATCAGTAAGCAATCGACAGAGGCTGATGACAAATGTTTGTGTCTGCTCTCAAGTGATCCACTTTTCAAGTCTGATAATATTATAAATAAACTCAAATTTCTCTCTCTTCTCCAGTACAGCTCAAAGACTGCTATGAGTCCAAAGCCTTCTACTTCCTAATTTTCGACCTGTAAGTGTCAAATCACAAGTTTCTCCGTTTTTAATATTGTTGATAGAAAAATTATATTTGTGTCATTTACCTTCATCCAGGATGAGGAGGGGTGAACTTTTCGACTATCTCACAGAGAAAGTGACTCTGAGTGAGAAGGAAACCAGGTAAGTGAGCTTTTTATTTCACGTTTGAAATATTTGCTATAACGTAAAAGAGACTGAATAATCTGAATTTTTAAGTGACCTGAATATCTGTGTTGGTTTAAGAAAGATCATGCGAGCACTGCTGGAGGTGGTCCAGTTTCTTCATGGCCAGAACATCGTCCATCGGGACCTGAAGCCTGAGAACATCCTCTTAGACGACGACATGAACATTAAACTCACCGACTTTGGTTTCGCTGTGCAAATCAAGCCAGGACAGAAGCTCAAAGGTCTGTGAAAACATCATTACAGTGTTTAAGGGAATTTCATATAATGATGATCTGAACGTGACCCACATGGCAGTTCATCTTTACCAGAGATTTACTGACATGAATGCAACGGAAACATGAAGTGTCCTGTCTTCAAGACGTGAACTATGTTTACAACCTGATGTGAAGCTGCTACAGCAGCTGCTGCTGCTGGTGAGCAGAGGCTTCTAAGAAAGGTTACGGTGCAATAGGAGACTCTGTTCTATTTGCTGCAGTCGCAGAAACTCGGAGGACATTGACCTTTCAAGTAGACTTCTCAAAAAGCATCATATTATTAGCATAAGGAACTGGCACTGTGAATGTTTGTCAGAATGTGTACTCATAATACTGTTTGACATGTAAATAAGGGATGTGTATGCAAGGTTATTTAAATCACTAGGTAAATGGTATTATTGACACTCTTTATAGATATAAGTTGCACAAGTACTACAGTTCTAGTGTTCAAGGGGGATAAATGTTTGATTGTCTCAGTTAAGGAGGTCATGTTTTCTGCGTCCTTGGTTTGTCTGCAATTAGGATAACTGACAAGCTGACATGTTCAATTTATGAAAAACATGGACTTGGTCCAACCCTTCCATTTCAAATCATGTTTGGTTTTAATAATTTGCTATAGGACTTTTGCTTTTATTAGAATGACAGAAAATCCTTACCTTATGCAATATAATTTTTTATGTATTTATATCTCATGATTGCCTCATCCTCTTTAGACAAACATTAGAAACCCTTTGTGTTTTACATTTTCGGCATGTTTCTACTAGACAACAATTGGTGAAACATAAAGTATTGTAAATGTGGGTACTTTGAGTCATAAGTTTGTTGTGTGTATTGCAGAAGTGTGCGGGACTCCAGGTTACCTCGCTCCTGAGATCATTGAGTGCTCCATGGATGGAGGGCACCAAGGATACGGCACTGCTGTAGATATGTGAGTGTGCAGAGTTAATGATGTATAATTAATGTAATCATGTGTTATCTAAATATTCCAAAGTTTGTGATCAGGATAGTTGGTGTAGATATTGTTGGCACACTTGGTAAGTCTAGTTTCTTCTGCTTGGTGCCTGCAGATGGAGCTCAGGGGTGATCATGTACACGCTACTTGCAGGCTCTCCGCCCTTCTGGCACAGGAAACAGATGCTGATGCTGCGGATGATCCTGGCTGGGAAGTATGACTTCTCTTCTCCAGAGTGGGAGGACCGCTCGGACACTGTGAAAGATTTGGTGGGCTTTTTTTTTAGGTTTTTTTTAAAACTGAAGCAATAATCTGATTGGGTTATGGGAATCTAAATATTTGAATGCTCACAGAGCTTGTCCCTGCCTTATGTATTAATAAAGTTTTAAAATCGCTTGTATCAACAAGTACACAACATGTGAGGTTGCAGGTTTTAATCACACAACGATGAACTAAACTGAGTTTTTCCTCAGATCTCTCGGATGCTGGAGGTGGACCCGAGGCAGCGATACACAGTCACCGACGTTCTCAACCACTCGTTCTTCTCGCAGTATGTGGTGGATGAAGTGCGACAGTTCACTCCATACAGGCGCTTCAAGGTGAGATATTAAAGCCTTTTTCAGAGACTAAATACCTTTGATTCTCAGTGACTGTATATAGATATGCACACAGCTTACCATTAATATTTTATTTGTATTCCTATCTCTCAATGTGTCTGTTACAAAATGTCATTAAGACAGATAAATACAAGTTAAATTTGACTGAGAGATGGCACCCAAATGTTACATTGTGCTTCATAACACCAGCAGGAAATTTCTCTTAAATTATAAACCTCCAACATGCCAGATGTACAAATCATGACATTTAGACTGTATCTTCCTATATTAACTTAATTATATTTGCTTATGTATTACTCAGTTTTAGCTGTTATATCTTTGTTAAATACGACTTAAAGTAAAAACGCGTGTGTAAGAGTCCACACACTCGAAGCTGCTACAAATCACATTTAATTCAAGGAAGCACCACGTGACCATTTGGGCCCTAGCCTTTCATCAGTGTCAGATATTCCCTTAGTTCTCTGCCACACCAGTGAAGCTTTCCCCAACTTTCCTCCATCAGGTCATCTGCATGACTGTGCTCGCCACGATGAGAATCTACTGCAACTATCGCCGAGCAAAGCCCGTCACCAAGGAGGTGATCAAGAGTGACCCGTACGCCGTCAAGCCCATCCGCAAGCTCATCGACGCGTGTGCGTTCAAGATCTATGGCCACTGGGTCAAGAAGGGACAAACTCAGAACAGAGCAGCACTTTTTGAGAACACTCCCAAAGCCATCCTGCTGTCCATGGCCGCCGAGGCAGATGAACCCATACACCACATCTGGTAATGAGCATTTAATACTCAGGACACATCTGTTGCAGCGTCAGGAGGACTTTGAACTGGTTAAAAATAACCTACTGCTACAAGACCTTCCAGTCTGTTGTTCAATAGTGTGAGCATTTTTTGCTCTAAACTGTTGAAATGCAGCATTGGCTGTTACACTGGGATTGATTTGTCCTAAAGATTATAGGAGTGTGGATAACAAGACTTCAGCAATACTGCTGTTGTTCTACACTACAGGCTTACTGTGCCAAATGAAGATTTAAATAACTAGTTGAATAGCATTTCAGAGAATACATTTGCACATGTCCCCAGGCACTTAGTCTTTAATTTCTGTTGAATAGAACAATGACATGTTGACACAAACGCATGTCGCACCCAAAGCAAAACTTGTTTTAGATTCCAGGAATAGAACCTGTGTACTTGAACTGCAATGAGTTACACGTGTACTGTGTGGCTCTTTGATCATTATGCAGCATGAACTCAACTGAACCCCAGGGAAAATTTTAGGATGATAGCACTTTAAAAATGTTGGCCGTGGATTATTTATTAAAACATTCAAGTTAAAAATCAAAGTCTTGTCATGATAATGTTTCAACTTTTGGTGTCCTTTTGCATCTTTGTTCAAAACCTTGACTCTGGTATAGGAAACAAATTCACAAGACCCATTGTTAACAAAGTTGCACTTTATTTTAACAGAAGAGTGAGGAGCATTTTACATTAATCCATAAAAAAAAAACAGAGGTTTTTTTTAAGCAAAATTTCACAGATACAGTCTTATATTTCTCAGATGCATCATTGTCAACCTTACCACTCATGAAGGACTCACTTTCTCATGTTTGTGGTTGTCCTGCAGGATTTAAGAAACAGGAGGGGAATCAATACAAAGAACAAAAAAAAGAGGCAGAGCACAAGAGCAGCATTTTAAAATGTATCTTTGTACTCATTTCTACACAGTCTGATGAGGCTGAGGGAAGCACTCATCCAGTCATTAAGCAGAAGTGAGACGATGCTTTTGCATGGTGTCTGACTGTATCCATCACAGACCAGCTGGAACAGAATTCGTCCATGCCCTGGTGGTTATTTATTTTAGTGCCAGATAAAAAAAAAGAAAAAAAGATTGAGTGTGTACAAACATACCATCCATCAGCCTTTCTCCACATGCTGGAGGTGATTTGTTGCAGCTGTTAACAACTGGAAGCATGACAGATGCTGCAACAACAAAAACAACACGAAAGAGGCAATGAGATTAATTATTGTACT